ACACAGACAACACCCACAACACATACCCCCCCCCTAACCGCCTCACAACCTATACGTTCTTATACTAACCGTATACTAACTAGCTCACAACACATGTATTAAAGACACCCCCGCCCTCACAACCGCCCATCTCCATAATCTGCACCAGCCAACGCCTACTATTATACCGGTACTGTATTGTTATATTAGTACATGTACATAGTAGGCTACACCAGGCATTGGCACTGGCAGCCACTGGCCGATCAGCCCTGTACTGTACGTGTCGTGCACATGTACAATGTACTTAACTGTGCGGCAGTGTATGGCACGTACTGTTTGCCTACGCGTGTCGTCGTATCGCATCACTTCGGTCCGCCGAGGCATAGAGCTAACACAGTAACAACACGTACGTCGATACGACACAGCAGTTCCTATAGGCTAGCTAAACTGGGTCAGCAATGTAGTGGGCCGAGCTTGCACAGCACATAAACTGTTACTGCCTGTCATACATCAACGGGCCCGTGCTGAGACTGCAGGCGGTTCAACAGTTATACAGGATAGTCTACTAACTAAACGTGTTCAGCTTTCATTGTCGTGGTGAAAGAACTGCAGTCTTCTGTGTATTTAGTATGTTTAATTAATGAATTCAACGTGAGTTTCAGTTATTTTCAGGAAAGGATCTCAAATAGGCCGCCTACACTTTGTATATAAGTAACAGTATTAGATTTAGTGTGTTTTAAATTGATAGCTATCGTAAGGATCTGCATGGTGTTATTACAGAATACTACAAGTGTCTTCTTCTCTGGATTTTTACGTTCAAGTGGGTTGTGCGTGGAACATGCATATTTTTAGGTTAATCGACCAACTGATTTTATTTTCAGTCTAGCGACAATACATTTGCCCTTGAACTGTGACGTATAGTGGTGATTTTGTGCAATGATATTAATATTAATATTTTGCTCCCTATTATCAGCGCATCAATTATAATCAATATAGTAGAAAATGGACAACTTGTTGTAGTGGTAGTAAGTGTGAGACGGGAGGGAAAGTAAAATAAAACCATATCGTCAACATCATTATTATATAATATTACTATTAATTATTAATATTATGCGTTAATATAAGTCTTAAAAGCTGGACAAAAGATTTTCAAGAAAAAATGGGTCGAAAATGCTCTGTTTGGGGTTGTAAAACAGGATACTTGACACATCAGACCACTGAGAAAATCCCGATCTATGGGTTTCCGAAAGATAAAGAAAAATGTCGCGCGTGGGTGGCCTGTCTACCCAATGGACAGTCGCTGGATCTAGATGGAAGAGTCACGGGGAACATGGGCATGTGTGCCCTGCACTGGCCAGCGGACGGGGTTCCCATGATCAGATCAGGAAGGCATTTGGTTCCCGCCGTCCCGCCTTCAATCTTCTACGACGATGTTTCAGAATCGTCCGTCCCTCATCCCAAGTCGTGCAAAGTTCGTCGTCATACTGAGCTGTCAACAGTGGAAGCACTAGGCCTACATGCTGAGGACATCATCACAGGTGAGAAATCTCGGATAATCTCTCTCTCTCTTTCTCTCAATGTCACTCTCTCGCTCTCCCTGACACATACACACACACACACACACACACACACACACGCGCGCGCGCACGCACACACACACACACACACACACACACACACACACACACACACACACACACACACACACACACACACAACACTCTACTCTCACAAACGTCAAACGCCTCCCCCCCCTCTCTGTTGACTACATCTCTACATCACTGTCTTGTTTACCTAACTTAGAAATTAGAATAAAAATTAGAAGTCAGAACCGAGGTACACATTGTATGTATAGATATCTATGTTATCTGCAGTTGGTAGTGGTAGTTATAAGTAGTTGACCACAACCGTCGGTGCGAGTGCCGGCGAGTCGGCGACCGGCGAGATTATTACTAGGAGTAGACTGCTTTGACTGCCGTCTGTCTACACGTTTTGATTTTAGACACGGGATTTGGGATTTGTGACGTCACATTGCACGGCTGAACACTGAACAGCCAAGACCAAGAGGCGTGTCACAAGTCACAAGTTGACAAGTCATTGGCAATGGCAAGGCGTTTATAATACAGTATTATTGTTGCATACTCATTATGCACACGCCGAGCGCCTGGTTCTATCACCCATGTGTATTAGTATGTAAGCTATGAGAAGTGTGTGTCTGTGTCGTCAGTGTGAAGGCTATACTAGAGAAGAACGAATGCAGAAGACACCATCATCCCGGGACTCTCAAAGTCAAAGCCGTGACATCACACGGGCTGGCTGAGTGAGCCAGCGCCGACCTCGTCTCGAGGTCAGTCCAATGTAACAACACACTACAGCCGTGAGACGGCCTACATCTGTGCACTCAGCACACTACACACACTATATATACACACATGTAGGCCTACTTACGCAATGGCCATTACATTACATGTACTATGTATCCCCAAGAAGGTTAAATTACACCGCATGTTTTTTAATTCAATGATACTGATACTGAGATACTCAACTGGGTTGTCTTTGGGTCTTTGGGCCAATCAACCTAATTTTTTGAGGGATCGAGTGTTCTTCATCTTTATGCAATACTGACTAATGCACCTGAGTTAATGCTTAACTCATATCGGCGAGAGTCCACACCCCTTGCGGACGTATCACCGATATACATGTATGTATATTATATCGGCTGTGATAGGGTGCTTCAGTATTGTTTCGTTTTAACACAATCCGTCATTTATAATTAGCCTACTTTCTCAGGACTTTCTGTTGCTATTAAAAAACTCGGAACGGATTTAGGAAACGAAAACCTCTAGTTTCACTTTCACTTTTAAAGCGTGGGTTGTTTGGGGAAAAACAAAATGAATTAGTTCTTGCGGTCTTGTATCAACAAAACAATGTAACCGGACTCGGTATAAATTTCATAACTCAAACAAAAATAGGAATATCGCTTTCAAATAAAAAGCTGCGCATTCAGAAATTTATGGATTATGCTCTTATGGCTTGTATATGTGATGAGATAGCTAGATTCTAGATCTAGATCTATGCTGATTTGCTTTCACATGTTTGGTGAATGTAATTTTTTTTCCGTCAAAATATATTTTTCTCATCACCATCGCCGTTTCTAACACTTCTAATGCATACTTAATCAAGTTCCAAATTAATCCTTGTTTTATATTGGGATGTATTCCTCATTCAATTTCCTTCAATTTGATATATCATATATATGTTACGTTTGGAGTGATGGTTTATGCTTCGATGAAGTTATTTTGTACACCAGCTGCATAGCCAAACCGAGCCACAGACCTAGAGACCCCCCCCAAAAAAACACAAAAAAACAAAAAACAACCCACAACAAAACAACTGGATCAAGGCCTACGTCCGAAAATGGAAATTTGCGTAGTCGAACTTGATTTTACAAATGTTCAAGACAATCACCTGTACCAAGGTCAACAGACATATCTCCCCCCCAGGTCATTTTTACATTCTAATGGCACTGTGTAAGACAGCCCCCCGTGTTTTTTTTCCTAAATGACATTGTCCAGGACATCCACCTGTTTAAGACAACCACATTATACTTCTCCTTGGTAATTTGTGTTGCCGTCTTGCCCAATTTTGAGACTGTATTTAGGCTAATTCGACTCATGTCATCCCTCCCAGTCTTGTGAACGTGGAATTAAAATAGAAGTTCAAAATCTGCTTAATTTTAATAAAATATAATAGGCCTATAGATAGGATACCCTATTGACATTATCTAGTCTACAGATGTTGAAAGCATAGACTTGTAAGCTTAACTTGGCTTTATTTCCACAATTAAGTGGCCCGGTGTTCGCAAAATGCCAAATAAGTGCTGTGTGCCTGGTTGCAAAGGAAATTACACCAAAGACGAAAAGGTGTCAGTGTTCAAATTTCCAAATGACCAAACAAGGAAAGATCTGTGGTTGAAAATGATTGCCAGAAAAGACTGGTCTCCGTCGCATCAAACTGTTGTGTGTGAGAAACATTTTTGTGATGATTTCGTCATATGGTATGACTGTGCAAAGAGAAAAAATGGAAGCGTTCTAATGATGAAGAGAGATGTACCTCGCCTTACAGATGATGCATTTCCTTCCATCTTCCAAAATTCTCAGCGGAGGCCTACAAATAGAAAACCAGCAGCAAATACAAGTATGTTTGTCTCTTTGTCTGTCAGCTTCTTTGTCCGTAATATAAATGTGCATCTGTTCAAAATATTATGTGTGCATTCTCCTCCTCCTCCTCCTATACCACCACCACCACCGAACCTCTTAATGGCCACCTATCAAAGACAGCCTTCTGTCCGAGACAGTCACCTGCTGTACAAAGCATTTCTTCCTCCCCCCCCCCATCTCTCTCTCTCTGTACATACATACTCACATAATATATAATATACATATATATATATATACATATATAGTATACACACCATGTTCCACCTACCTACCCTGGGATGAGCTTGAAGTTAATGGTGGTAAAGCAGGGCAGGCGGTAAAATAAGGTTTTAATGCTGTCTTCTGTTAAATAACCTTCAGCTGTCCTATGGCCTAGTGTCGAAGGAAATACTTCTGCTATGTGATCTGTGTTTGAAAAGTCTTTTTTTGTGTTGAATAATTACATGTAATTGTTACAGCAAGCAGGGTGGGATTCATCCTCAAGTTGCGAATCGGCATGCCAGGAAACTGTGATAGAATGTGCACAGTACAGTGTACTGACTACAATGTTATAGTGAACACTTTGAATCTTTATGTGTGATACATAGATGTGTAATGAAATAAGAGGGACAGGAAGCTTTTTTTTTTTTACATGTGTATATGTGTTTGAGGGCTATTAATTTTGTCTCTTTATTTCTTTCATTTTATTTTGTATGCTTTAATAAATCATTTGAAAATCGATGCTGTTTCTTTAAATCTTATCCATTTCTGTGCACTGCAATTGATAACCAAAAAAGAAAAAATCCATTTCGATGAGTTTTCAGCTCTAGTGACAGTTCATGCACACATACAGTAATGTTTTCGGTGATTTAAAAAAAGTTATGGCACACAATAATAATATATCCTTTTGTTGAATGGGCTCATGTCTTGTTTAGTAATTATTGATGTATAAAATTATAACACTAGTTTGTAAGATATAATAATATTTGTTTCTGTTTTGTATTACTAGCTGGACTTTGGTTCAGCTTTGTGTAATGTATCATCATGTAACCTGGCATTCTACTTGTACAATTTAGACGGTAGCGAACTAACCCATTCTCTCCTGATCCTATCTCTCTTTAGTTAGCGTTGTACGTACACAGTAAAATGTTTGATCTGTATTAGTTTAGTCTCTCATCCTTACTTAACTTCATCTATAGCAATAAATGTGCTGAGAAAACCTGTTAAACAGGAGCTTTAATTCTCTCTTGGTCCCTGCACCAATTTTTAATGTTTCTATTAATCAGATAAATAAAATTTCCCTCTGGGATAATAAAGTATTATCTTATCTTATATATATATATATATATATATATATATATATGCACACACACAATTTATTGCTTTCTCAAATCTCGTTCTCAGTGATGACATGATTAGTACACACAGCCTAAAGCTATTGTCGTTGTTTGTCATTCATTCGGTGTACAGGAAACAGCCAGACAGAAACAACTGTGGGCTGAAAGGGAAAGAAACGAAAGAAATGTATGCACTCTTTGAAATGTACTATACCTGTACTATATATAATAATAGGCTTACCGATCGACCAGTGACAGCCTCCAACCACCCAAGTACTGTAACTAATTCCCCCAAAGACGACGGGGTGGGCGGGGACCGGGTGGTGAATTTTTTTACTGTCAGCTCTGTTAGCTAATCAAAACGAATGAGTTGACTGAATAGCAGTTGGCAGCAGTAAAATATTTCACTTAATGATAGCGCTTTATTTGTGAAGTCCGCGGGAGTAGACCTGCAAATTTAATCCATGTATGTGAGTATTTGGCCTTATGTTTATCTTTTGTCATTACTTTTTGTGTCAGTAAGCTGGAAGGTTTTATTACTTCGTTCGCATTCTTTGACTTATAGCCCACTTCAGTCGTAGCGCGGTGAAAAAACTCGAGTTTTCTTTTCGCTGGCGTCCCCGTCCCAACCCCAGCGCCATTTTGTTTTCGTTTTATAAAAGGCAGGCGCTAGTCTATTTGCAACTGCGTGTTCTGAATAGCTCCCATGCTATTTGAAACGCCAGTACTAGAATTTAGATCTTGATTTCTAGATGTAGTAGCCATCGTTTCTACTTGATAATAATTCTTCCTGAATTGTGGAAGCTTTCTCACTTGACTATCTCTCTACTCTATAGATAGCTATTCGACTGGTATCTCTGCTCTGCTTTACACAAAATAAATTTGAAGTTTTATTTCCACCACAAATTACAAATTATTTATGAGGGATAGACAGGCTATCAACAAAGTATTTTACAAATTGATGAATAGAAGAACCAATTAACTTGCAAGTGTTTTTAACAAATGAAGCTCAGCGAGCACCTATAGCACTCCTCTGATTGGCCCAATAATATTATATGATGTATTCTACCATCTATTTTTGTCGTCTTTTGGAGCTTCCCCCAAGACTCATGGATTTTCCTCGCCAGTAACTCTTGACTAGGTCTGGCTGTCTTTGGTTTTTTGTCGTATTAATTTGTGTTATCTTTTTAACAATCTCAGCAATTCTCGTTCCATAAATTTACCTTCTCCACAAAGTTGTACACACACACAAACACAAACACACAGTCACAAGTGCGTGCACTCACACACACACACACATCAGAGCGGGCCCGCCACGGTGAGATCAGACAGTGAACGTTTACATTGTCTCTGGTGAGATCTGCTAACTGCTAGTCAACTGGCGAGGGAAGCCCTGGAAGACGACCAAAATGGATGGTGGAAATACGTCAGAGATGTGCTTTTTGCTCGCTGTGGCGTCATGTGTTTTTAACAACAATGGTAATGGGGGGTTTCAGGGGGGATGTCCCCCTAACCTAAAAAAAAATGGGGGGGGGGGGGGGTGTCGTAAGTTTCAGGGGGGGCATTACCCCCCCCCCCCCCCCCCCTGTATTTCGCCATAATTTGATGTTTTGCAATTGGGTTTGATATTTTCTTGAAAGGCCGCGGCTATTCAGACTCGAGTCTGAATAGCCTCCAGTGACTATTCAGACTCAAAACTCCAATGGGCGTGCGCAATCTCTGGGTGTACCGGATGTGAAACGGACAGAACATTCAACCTTGGCCTTCCTTGCGGTTTCTACGATCTGGCCGAAATTTTCGACGCAAATTAAGAAAAGTATTAGTGACGACAAAAGTGAACAATAGTTGCAAAATCTGAAATACTACACAACAAAGGCAAACAGGGAAACAGCAATCTAAGCTCAAAGCAGTGAAAAAAATTGAAAATCAAAGTTTCAGATCGACAAAGTATTACATAATGATCAATAGGTAGATCTAGTCTAAAATGCTTTATTTGACGAGAAAGACGAAATCATTGATCAATTGGAAGTCCAGTTAGAAATTAAGAAGAGAAAAGTTAAAACCCTTCTAAAGGGAACAAAAGTTAGTAATTCAAAGTAACAGTGGTCTAAAGGACTTTTTTAAGCTTTTCCAACAGCGTACTTCAAGTAAGATCAGGACAAAACGAATCATATTCCAATAGCAATAGACAAGCAACAGTCCTTCTCTACAGTCTGAAGTAGGGGTATCAGCTCAAAATGTTAAGTCATCAAAATTGTTATTTCTTGGGGACAAATAAAATGCAAATTTAATTTATAAACAATGTTAGAGAAGCTATACGGGCCGCCAGATGAACTGAGCAGGACGGCCCAATTTATGACAGATACCAGACTTCAAGTGTGATGCAATCGAGAAGAAGATAAACAATGTTAAAATGACAGCAGTAGAGTCACTTTGGAAATCATCAACCAATCAGTAGGTCATGCTAGAATCAATGTTGAAAAGCATCAATTCCAGCATGCTTCACAAAACCATCAATTCCAGCATGCTTCACAAAAACCATCAATTCCAGCATGCTTCACAAAACCATTTTGGTGACTGAGTAGCAGAACACAATCCAACACAATGGTAATGGTACCAGCTGAAACAGCTTTCAACATACAACCATCATCATTTGACCGTCATCCATTTCCTTGCAATCACAAGACTCGACTCATACAGATCTTTCTCCTTCTTGGTAGAAATGCGCTAACTGCAGTGCCTCCCATGCCTCCTAATAAAAAAGATATTCTAATATCGACATGTCTACAAATACAACGAATGTATCTTTTCTGGAGTCAAGTCTGATCTTAAAAACAGGGCACAGGCAGAATCCACAACACTACCTGCAAGAATCAGGTTCTTTTTTTTTCTTGGTCTTTAACTTATAAGCATAGAGTGTATCCCCTTTTTAGAGTAGAGACCATACGAGGTCACATAACACAGAAACTTTCGAATTTGTTGGCGACCATGTTTGAGTTCCTCACCAGTTGGCCAAGAAGTTTGTACATGTGAGTGGGCGTGTCTCTGCTCTTATTAAGGAAGGTGTTCTATAAGATTCTAACGTTGTGTTTTAATCCAATTCTCTTAAAAGTGCAAACATGTGAAACCTCTAGTCCCTTTCTGGATTAACGTCTTACAGCCTTAGAGACTTTCTCTACGGTAAATTCATCACCAGCAAACGTCTGATTAGTCTGGAAGTGGAGGACGGAAGAAAACGAGAACGGAAAGGATGGTGCAACACTGCTGTGTGGGTCACTGCTTTCAGAGAGCCTACAAAGGATCCCCATTTTCTTTTCACTGGTAAGAATTCAGACAGATTAGATCTAGATCTTTATATATTGAAGATAATATTTGAAAAGATTAGGAACCTGATCTGATCAAAGCTTATCTTTCATTTAATTAATATCAGATCAAACCGCTGCAGTTTTGCCTCCCCTATGTGTTTAATTACTTATTTAAACATCACAAAATCCGAGCTAGATCTACTAATCTGGGGTTCTAGTTTCACTCACTTGACTCACTGGCTTAAGATATTAAACATGAACTGTCATATAAGCCTGTATGCATCCATAGTACGAGGGCTGTCCCACGGAAAACCAGAATTTGGCTGTAATTTGAAAACTTGAATATTTTCCCATTCTGTAAACGCACACTTGTAAAACAATAATTTAAGAATTTCCCGATTGAGCACCATGAGCATTGCACAAACCAAACGAACACAGCAGTTCTCCAAAGATGGCTACCCCGTTGGAAAATTGGTCAAGGGTAGAAGTGAAGTCTGTCATTCGGTTTCTGACCGCAAAAAGTCTCAAACATAAAGATACACACTGAAATTAAGTCAGTTTACTGGGAGAAAGTAAAGGCAAAGTCACAGGTATATGAGTGGTGTAGTAAATTCAAAGCCGGGCATACGGATGTCAATGACAAAGTTCGCCCAGGACCTTGTTTTTCTTCCAAGACTGAGGACAACAAGAGTCATGTTAACGAACTCATTCAAACAGACAGGCGCCTAAAAAGTATTTAAGTGTCTCAGACTTTGTTGAATCGTTGTCGCCAAGCTGTCACGGGAGTCATGAACGCATCTGGAGACCTCCAACAATACGATGAAGCATTCCTGGGAAACATTATTACAGGTGATGAGACTTGGATACTCCACATGACCCCCGAGACGAAGACGGATTCAATGGTTTGGAAGCGCACATCTTCGCCTCCCCCCGAAAAAGTTCAGCTATCGGTGAAGAAACTCATGGCCACGGTTATCTGGGATGCTAAGGGTGTTCTGCTTCTTGACATTCTGGAACCAGGACAAACTGTTAATGCTATAACAGATACTTCCAGACTCTTGATAAGTTGAGAGGGGTTGTGCGCCGAAAAAGACCAGGCCGGTTGTCCAGCGGGGTCATTTTGCAGCATAACAACGCAACGCCGCATAAGGCAAAAATGCTACGAAAGACTGGATCCAAAGGTTCGGCTGGGAAGTTCTACACACCCCCTTCACAGTCCTGATTTAGCCGTGTCAGATTATCACCTTTTTGGACCAATGAAATGCCATATTTGTGGACAGCGATTCACTGACGACGAAGACCTCGTAGAAGCCGTGAAAGATTGGTTGAAGTCCTTTGGCGTAAAATTCTTCAGGGAGGGTATCATCTCCCTGATCCAGCGATGAGAAAAATGCGTCCAGCGGGATAATGATTACATTGAGAAATAAAGCACATGTTGAGGTATGATGTGTCACATTTTGATTATAATAGAACAAAGATTGTTGCTGTTATGGACCTTTTCCAGTTTTCCATGGGACAACCCTCGTAATATACATTATCATCAATCGTATTTTTTGTGGGATGATGATGGATGGGAGCAACCAAAGATAGGCTGCTGTTGCAACCTTGCTCGTGTCTAAAATATATGATGTAATGTATTGGTATATTAGTGACAAAAGAAATCAGCCAGATTGCGCTTAGTGTGGTACACATTTTCTATTGCATAACTCATCACAGGCATTTCAGTGATGTCTGTTTCTTTCCATTAAATCATCTATTTTTAGCTCATATATATATATATATGTCTTATAGGTCTTACCATAGCCTTAATTTTGTCACCTGGTGGTTGGTTTGGTGGGGGGAGGGTGGGGGAAGACACAGTGAGGCGCATTGTGATTGAATGTAAAGCTATTGTACCACAGTAAGTTTAGAGCTGCTTATATTATAGATTTTAATAGTGTCACATGTCTCCAATTTTGACAATTTGGGCCAATTTATTACTATCAAATCATATGAACCTGACCCTATCCCCTAACACTATGTTTAAGAAGAAATGAATAGCCGAACCTTACCTATCCCCTTGCGCTGCTAAAATGAAGGGCCAACCCTAATCCTATAGGAAGAAAATAGGCACAAATAGTCACTCCTGGTTTTTTAATGTATATAGAGCCATTAGTAAGATTTTAGGCCATGTGAAGTTAAGGTTGACTAGCTGCTAGATCTTTTTCACATTGGGCAGGTAGTTTCTTTTTCAAACAGTGTACTTCTTTTATGTTTTGTTTTTGGAAAAGGTGGGGGGGGGGGAGGGGGGGAGTGTACAAGGTTGTAGTATTGACTGCCCATAAACTTATGACGTTTGTCCTCAGCTTTCCATGGAAAGATCCTTACAGACTTGCAGAGTGGATCCGTAGAATTAACCGAGAAATGAAAGATGGGAAGCCATGGTATCCTACTCAGAATGACAGAGTCTGCAGCCAACACTTCTTGAAATCTGACTATTACCTTGGATTGGATCTCCGAATTCTTAGAGAGGATGCTGTCCCATCAGTTTTTCCCGGCAATCCACCTGTGAAGCAAACTGCATTGACCTGTAAGCGGCCATCGCCAAAGAAGCGTCACGAGTCCACAAAACCTCAAATAACCAACAAGCATTCCTACGCCTGTTCTTCTATTGAACTGTCCCCGTCGTTTTATGCAAGAAAAATTCTGAAATTATGCAAGCTGAGCCCGAAAATGTGAAATTATGCGATTCTGTTAATTTTAACAAAGAATGATAAAGGAAAAATTAAATAATCAGAAATTATGCAAAAAAAGATCAAGTTTTGCTAAATTATGTGGGGTGCATAAAACCACGCGGACAGATTGAAGGCCACCCTCTTGATTTAATTTAATGCCAAACTCGTATATTGGGGGGGTGGGGTGGGGTGGGGGGGGGGGGGGCTTGGAGTTGGGATTCGAGAGGGGAGGTTCCCGTCCATGATACCCACGTCTTTTCGTACTTCTTCTTAAAAGTGCTATAGGCCATATACGCTTTGATTCAGTCAGTAAGAAATAAACCACCCCGTAGATGAAATGCTGCTGAAGAAATATTGTTGTTTTGTTGTTATTTTTTTTGTTTGTTTTAAAGCCCATCTATCTCTATCTATTTAACAATGCATTTATTTTATTTTTAGATCTAGCTGTAGAAAGTACGCTGTATTATTGCTATCTGGAAATCTAGATATAGTACGCCACGATGTCTGTGTAAAAAAAAAATAAAGAAGGGCCAAGCCTCGCCTATTGCCTGTAAGAGAGAGAAAACATGCCTAGCCCATTGCTTTAGCATGAACTCCTTCACACTGCCGACCAACTCTCTCTGTCTCTGTCTCTCTCTGTCTCTGTCTCTCTCTCTGTCTGTCTCTTTCTCTCTCTCCCTCTCCCCCCCCCCCTCTCTCTCTCTCTCTCTCTCTCTCTCTCTCTCTCTCTCTCTCTCTCTCTCTCCCCCTCCCTGTCTCTCTCTCTGTCTGTCTCTCTTTTGGCGCAGGGGCGTCATAAGTGGTCAGCGATGCCGACAACACGCGCGAACTCAACACTTGCTTGGGGGTACTTGAAAAGTGCTGAACGTGGGTCACTGAAATGTCCCAGCAGATGTGTTCTGGCATGGCAGTTAGCGGGACATTTCAGGAACACGTGGTCCACAGTCTCGTCTTCCTCCCTGCAGGCTTGACAGGACGGATCTGAGTTGTCTGCTGACGCAATTTTGTGTAGAAATGATTTCAGCTTGGGTGATTTTCCACTAGTTCTCATTTGGGAGAGAAGCTGGCGGTCTTGTGGTATGAGCGAGGACTCAAGCTGGTATGATGGCGGCTGGGTGGACGGCAGTTTGGGTTTCGCCTCTCTTTTCCACTTTGCGCGGGTCGACCAGTGGATGATGGCTTTAGCTGTTGAGAAATCGATGGGCATGTCAATCTGGGTAATCGCTGCTGCTTCTTTAGCGATGCTGTCAACTTCCTCTTTCCCAGCTAGTCCAGCATGGCCCGGAATCCACGGTAAGTGGATGGAACATTCGGAGCATTGACAGAGGGTGTGCAGACGCTGCCAGATTGAGCACGCTCCCTTTTCTGATTGGTTGGCGGCCTGACTGCTGACCTGGAATCAGTGTATTCATGAATGTGCACACTGTTCGAAAGACTTCCTGCTGTCTGTGGTGTATCAAGCGTGCCCAGCGCCGTGTCGAGAGCTACATGCTCGGCCCTGTAGCTGGAACTATACCGACTTGTGGGTACACGGTGGTCAAGTTCGGTATGGCCGGTCTTAATTAGTATTCCGCTGCCTCCGTACTCAGTACCATCTTTAGCTGAACCGTCAGTCCCGACTTTTACATCGGGCAGGGGGGGCGATCAAATGGTAGCCTCTGCTGCTGCTTTCCTGACTGCTGGTTCATTAGCACGCTTGCAGTCGACGACGAGATCGGTGCTAAATGTCACTTTGTACGATGCAGCCTTCCACGGGGTAAAACAACCAGCTCCTCACGTGGGTGCGTACCCAGTTCAGTCTCAGCTACGAGGTTCTGGGTATGCTTTCTCCACGGGTGCGAAGTGTGGACAATCAATAAAGAGCTGGAAAGAACAATTGTAGCGACGGAGTTGTGGCTCTTAAAACGCATGCTACGTGTCCAATAGACAGCTAGAAAAACAAATGACGAAGTCTTGGCTGAAGCAAATTGGAGAAGACAGCTTGCGACGAATATAAGAAAGCGACAGGCAAATTTCTTCGGACACACAATGCGGAAAGAAGCTTTGGAGAATATGGTAACAACAGGCAAGTTTGATGGAAAGAGAGGCAGAGGCAGACAGAGGGAAAAGATACTGGACAAAATGACAACATGAGAAGGAGCAGCAAGAACAACAGACACCATTGCTGCAACGCGGGACAGAGTGTAGTGGAGGTCCATAATCGCCCACGCCAGTCGGCAAGGCACCGGATGATGATGATTTCTCCACCTGGACTTGCCTGTCCGCGTGGACGCTGATTTTGTGGCGGAGGCTCTGCGTTGATTTGTTGCGGGGAGACACATGGACCCCTCGAGTGAAACAGCTGAGCGGTCACGACATCAGCTCTATGCCTTAGTGGTAGAGTGTCTGCTTCAATGAGGCATGAGGAAGGAGGCTGTCCACACGAGTATCCTTTGACTTTGAGCAGCCTGTGATGATTCGCGCTGCTTCATTCTGCTTTCTTTCCAGTTTCTGCAGGCGGCCAACTCCAACATGGCGGACGCCGCTCTTGAATGGGGTCATGGCGTAGCAAGGCTGGAGAGAGAGAAACGTACTGTATCTAGGCTAATAGTATAAATCTATGCTTGGAAGTCAGTTGGCGTTTGACATTTATTTTCGTTTCCTGTTTCGTTTAGTGAGAGTTTTGTTTTTGTTTGGGGCGCCCCCTGACTTTTGGCCGAGTCAGTCTGATATCGGCAAAACAGGAATTTCTTCTCAACTCTTCTTCTACCAGTTCCACCCTCTTCAAAATCATCCAAATCCCCCAACTCCAAATCTCCTGGTCTGGTCTCCCTCTGTTCTGCCCTCCTTGCGTCCCCCCTGACCACTCCCAATGTATCCCTCTGCTCCTCCCGCCTGCCTCCTTTCCTCCTCCTCTGTTATTTTTCTTTCCCCCACTTCTGTCCCTCCTCTTTCCTCCTCCTCTGTCATTCTTCTTTCCCCCACTTCTGTCCCTCCTCTTTCCTCCTCCTCTGTCATTCTTCTTTCCCCCACTTCTGTCCCTCCTCTTTCCTCCTCCTCTGTCATTCTTCTTTCCCCCACTTCTGTCCCTCCTCTTTCCTCCTCCTCTGTCATTCTTCTTTCCCCCACTTCTCTCCCTCCTCTTTCCTCCTCTTCTGTCATTCTTCTTTCCCCCACTTCTCTCCCTCCTCTTTCCTCCTCCTCTGTCATTCTTCTTTCCCCCACTTCTGTCCCTCCTCTTTCCTCCTCCTCTGTCATTCTTCTTTCCCCCACTTCTGTACCTCCTCTTTCCTCCTCTTCTGGAGCTTCCCTTTCTTCCTCTGTATCCCCCTCCAATATAGCCATTATTTCATGGGTGGTTGGCGGGTGCTCTGATGTGGTTTACTCCTTTTTTCCTATAAAAAATCTATCGTCCTTATTTCTCCTCCTTTTCTTTTGTGTTTGTTACTGTCTTGTAACGCCTCTAATCTTTGGCACTTATATGACCTTTTTGAGTTGCAAGTGCCGTAAAACTCTTACTAAAACTAAAACAGCCACTACTTCTCCATCTTCTGCCCTTGCCACACCTTGTCCTGTTTGACAAATCACAAAAATCTCTGTCAGAGGCCATCAAATCAAACACATTTTTCAAAGAGTCTCTACATGGTTCCTAACTGATGCTTCGCCCAGCAGTGGCAAACACGACTCACACTTGCGCAACATTTCTGATCGATAAGCCTAGTAGTTTTTGCTGTGGAGCATGGAACACGTTTTTACCATGGACACACACAGACATACAGACAGACAGACAGACAGACAGACAGATATTTCCTCCATATCCAAACTAAAGTACTGCCAGTTTTTTAAATCTGGGAGTACAAAATAGAGTTAGAAGCTGAAGAATGAAAATCTCAGAACAGCGACTGATCATAACTTTAATAGTTTACTTTCCTGGAATAGAAGTCAAGATATTTAATTTACGATTGAAAGAGGTGGGGGTCACATGGTATGAGAAGTAAATTTAGTGAGAAAATGGCCGCCAAAGTTTGGCGACTTCCAAAAGTTGAGTGTCCTTTGGAACTGGAAATTTACATTTTTATTGTCGTTTTTCGGTGTAATGCCCTCAGAAATAAGTTTTTTAAAGGACATAAAAAGGTGTTTTACTAAAAAATAAAGAAAATTCGAAAAAAAATTGCCCAATGCCTAGAAAAATGGCGATTTCTTTGATTTCATTGTTTTGACGGGTGCCTGATTTCACCACGCGGCCTCACAAATTTCCCCCTGAAACCCCCCCATGTTATTACAAGTTAGTTAAATTAATTTATATTACTAGGCAATTGGGCCTACTGTTGTGTTGTAATATAATATAGTATATTAAAAAGTTCGTATGAAAACTCCCATGCTTCTCAAAAACTAAAAATTTGTGGTGGATATAAAAAGACAAATTTTATATAAAGTAGGCTACAGTAAAGCAGAGAAAAATGAACAAGAAAAGTGCTTTAGTTTTAGACTATATCTGAGCGTGAGATAAAAAGAATAAGAATAATACCATAAATTACGTTGTCTGATTTTCAAGTCAATGATTAAATTCAAGCTGACCTACTTCCTTGATGTTAAATTAGATTTATAATTAGTTAGTGACTACAGACTATAGTGTAGTCTTTAGCGTTCAGTCAGATGTATAAATTTAAGTCTCAGATGTGCAAGTTTTTTTTGCTAATTATAAATCAGGCCGTCATCAAGGGTGCCATGTCGTACTAGGGATGGAAGGTGCCACTAGAAGGTCCTACGTCTTTTTTTTCCATCTATTGTGTCTTTTATGCTCGTGTGTGTCAGTGGTTGGAGGGTGCTACTCTAGAGGCACAGGTCTTTCTCTTCGTGCCCCTCTTGTTGTTTTGTCTGTTTATTTTGCTAAGTAGGTGGTTGGCGGGTGCTTTCTTTAGTGTGGTTTATTCCTTCTTTCCATAGATCAAACATGATCTACTGTCCTTTCTTTGTCCTCCTTTTCTTTATACATGTTATCTTACTCTCTGGCACCACCACGACTAATCTTCGGCACTTATGATAATTAATTATGACCTATAAATTTTGTTGCAGGTACCGTAAAACTCATACATTGTATTAAAACTTAAAAAAAAAGACAACTTATCTTACGGATGCTTAAAAAAATGTAAAAAAAGAAGAAAAAAAGAACTATGTTGCTAATGTCTCTGTTTGCAGGTCAGAGAAGCTCAGGGATGAACCCTCACTCTAAGTCAGACCCGGACTGGGTGCCCAAGTTTGACAAGCCCAACACGCGGGGCAAGAGGGAGTCACGGCGCTCCCGGAGCCAGGAGCAGCCGCAGTATGAAGTAAGTGCTTGATGGATGGAAGGATGGATGGATGGATGGATGGATGGATGGATGGGCAGATAGACAGATAGGATAGCTGCCAGATAGATAGATATATTGACGGATGGACCGGCAGGTAGATGGATTGATGGATGGATGGACGAGCAGATAGATAGACAGGATAGCTGCCAGATAGAATAGATATGTATATATGGATGGACGGGCAGACAGGCAGATGGATAGATGGACAGACAGACGGACGTGCAGACCGGCAGTCAGGCAAAGACAGACAGACAGACAGTCAGACAAATAGATACAGTTGACTCCGCTTGTGTTGAACTCACTTGAGTTAATCTTCGGTGAAGTTGATTTTTTTCTCGGGTCCATGCACCTCTTCTTCTTAACAGCTCAGGCCTCGTCAAAGGCAGCGGGAGGCTTTGATAAACTAAACCAGGAAGTGGAAATATTAGGAGTTCAGGTAAAAACGGGAAAAAAACACCTGAAAGAGTGATAGGTAAAAACAGAAGTACCTGAAAGACCAATAGATAAAAATGGAAGCACACCTGAAAGAACGATAGTTAAAATAACAGAAGCGCCGAAAAGATCAGTAGATAACAATGGAAGCACACGTAAAAGAACGATAGGTAAAAATGGAAGAACGCCTGAAAGAACGATAGGTAAAAATGGAAGAACGCCTGAAAGAACAATAGGTTAAAATGGAACAACACCTGAAAGAACGATAGGTAAAAATGGAAGAACGCCTGAAAGAACAATAGGTTAAAATGGAACAACACCTGAAAGAACGATAGGTTAAAATGGAACAACACCTGAAAGAACGATAGGTAAAAATGGAAGAACGCCTGAAGGAACGATATAAGAAAAAAAACACAACCACTAACACCCCATTTCCAAGAAGCAGCCATTCCGAGAAACAAAACAAGAAAACCCTTCAACTTTTTGCTCAAAAGAAGTGTTTGTAAGAAGGGTTCTAAATGTCTTGTGAAAAGGGCCCTTGAGTATCAATAGGCCCAACCTGCCCCATTATATTACGATACATACATGTTTTCTGTGATGGTCCTTCAGTATATACAGAAAAACAAATTCTATAACCTCAAAACGCAAATTTCCAAACTAGGATTTCAGAGTGCGTGATGGAATTTATCAGCGGCAGGGCATGGCTAAGGCATACCGGATAGTGACCTCAGTGCTTTTTTGTCGTATCTCCATTTTTAACAACAGTAGTGATCCAATCAATGAGTTGAGGAGGGGAGATCAATCCATAATCTTCCAACTTAGAACACAACATGTACCCCTCAACCAACATCTCAACCGAATTGGAGTAAAGCAGTCTGCTGCCTGCCCACTATGTGACCTACCCCTCAGAGACAGTGGAACATCATCTGTTCTTCTGTAGAAAACTAACTGATTTAAAGGGATGTTTTCTTCCCAAGCTACCCCACACATCTAACTGCCTCTACTCCTCAAGACAACAATTAGAACGAACATGCAACTATTACCAAATGGCATCATGCAGAAGAGTTAACGCTCAGATGCTACTGGATCGCTAACAACAACAACAACAACAACAACAGTAGTGAGAACAGTTCATAACAAAGAGTGAACGTAAGAAGTCATATTTTCCCTGTTAAAAAAATGGAGATATGACAAGAAAGCACTGAGGTCGCAAGATGGTATCGCGGGTCCTGTGAAAAGTGCCATGTGACCTGTTGGTGAAATTTGTTTTGGATATTCTTTTTGGCAAGTACGTTTCTTAAGAGGTTGATTCCAATTCATCAATTATGCTTTATGAGATCACAGAAAAAGAAACTGACCATTTCAAAGACATGCTGTTCAAAAAGAAACTCAAGGCTGTTCCAAAAACTTGCTGAAATTTACCAAGTGGTCAGGAGATCTGAAGAAGAAGTGAGGTACCGAGCTACTAGTAGTTATTGCGGAGGGCCTTGCATTTAATCAGACAATGCATTTCCAACTCATCAGCTCAACCAGCTAAGGCCATCAGCTCAACCAGCTCATGCAAACGCTCATCAGATTTGATGGAAATTCCTTTCCCACAACTCGGACTACAGCCTGTTACGTACGATGCTTCCGCTCACCTGAAGAAACTTAACGAGTTTCCAACATTTGCAAAATGATGGTGGTGGTGAATTTTTATCAAATTTTTGTTTTTTTGGCTCAACACCCTTCATGCTCGTTAAAAAACTCATTTCTGTGTGGATTTTTCTGAAAAACGTTGATTAAAGGCACAAAAAATGTAAATTTTCAGTTACAATGGATTCTTAAGCTAAGGAAATAACTAATCTTTGGCGGCCATTTTCTCTCTAATTTTACCTCTGAAAACATGTAACCCCTCCTCCTTCATTCGCAAATATCTCGACTTGTATTCAAGATAAATGGATATTTTTTCCATCTAAATAAAGACAAGTGAACAAGCTTTAAGATGATACCAAGAACTCTACACGCCCAAAAATTGACGAGAGCCTGATTCCACCACGCTGCCTCGCATATAGTGTAAAGTGCATAGAGCCTGCTGTTGAGCGGGGATATGTGCTATACAAATGCTATTTATTATTATTTATTATTATTATTATTACTACTGCAGGCTCCCAAAGCGGCTTCCAAGCGGAAGGAAATGAACTATGTGACCCGCACACAGACCGGGGCAGTGACCCCCCGCTCCCACGCCCGTGCGCCGGCCGCGAGCAAGCAGACGTCGAGCCGAGGCCATGCCAGACCAGGTCAGGCTAAGGTTGTGCCTGCGCCACCCAAGGGGAGAGCACCGCAGGTCGGCACGGTGGACCTGTTGATGGAGTGTCGGGACGAACCTCTCAGCTGGGTGCAGGTCAGTTGTTGAGAGTGGTGATTGTCATTTTTGTCGTCATCGTTGTCGTCATCATTTTCATCATCATCATCATCCTCATTCTCCCCCTCTCCTCCATTTCTCCTCCTCCCCACCTCTCCTCCTCCCCCTCCCCCCTTTTTCTCCTCCTCCCCACCTCTCCCCCTCATCCTCCTTCTCCTTGTCATCATCATCATCCTCATCATCATCCTTTCTCACCCCATGCCGTAGTATAGGAGGCTCCCCCCTTTTCTCCTCCTCCCCACCTCTCCTCCTCCCCACCTCTCCTCCTCATCCTCTTTCTCCTCCTTTTCCTTGTCATCATCATCCTCCTCATCATCATCCTTCCTCGCCCCATGCCGTAGTATAGGAGGCTCCCCCCTTTTTCTCCTCCTCCCCACCTCTCCTCCTCCCCACCTCTCCTCCTCATCCTCTTTCTCCTCCTTCTCCTTGTCATCATCATCCTTTTCATCATCATCCTCATCATCATCATCATCATCATCATCATCATCATCATCATCATCATCATCATCATCATCCTCCTCATCATCATCATCCTTCGTCGCCCCATGCCGTAGTATAGGCCACCGACAAGTCAACTGCTTACTGCACGACTCAGCTGTGTGCGCCATTTTGCAAAGTGACGTATGGCGGAATCTGTAGTGGCCTCTTTCGACACCCAGAGCAAACGTCAAGTCTTTTTCTTTTCACCGCTGACGTCTGCACGGCTAAGTTGTTGGATTTTTAACATTTTAATCCGATCTTTGTACAAAAACTATGAATGCTCTGTTTGTCACAGATTCGATGAGCACCCTAGAAAAAATCAGGAGTGGGTGGCTCTACAGTGACTGGAGAGCTTCCATTGCAAATAGCCACCTCCTAAGAGTTACATGGGTGTTCCGCCCTGGTCACGCCAGGGTGCACGGAAATGAGTGTGCTGATGAACTTGCCGGCAAAGCAGCACCCAATGGCCGAATCATGCTCGACCCACCAATGGTGATCGCCAGATGCAAGGAGAGCCTTCACAACCAAGAGGAGACAGACTCCCACACACTCAGCACAATAAAAGAAAAGTATGTACGGGGCACAGCGAAACAAAGTTTGCTCCGACGAGTGGTCAGGCGTGTCTCAAACAAACTCCTCATGGAGACAATTAGCAGGAACCTGAGGTGGACGCTGGAAAGGAGAGATGAGCAGCTATGGACATGTGCCGCCTGCTATGATTCTAGCTCCGGATCCAAGTAAATCCAAGTACTGTTGTGAATGTAACCAACTTGTGCTTCTCGCGTTCCTATCACCTTTGTGGTTGCGAGCGCCGTAAAACTTTTACTACACTAAACTAAGAGAGATGCCCTGGAGGTGGTCTGATAATAGTCTGAGAAGGCTGCCCTCCTCCCCCTTCTCTCCCCCCCCCCCCTCCCTCTCCTTCTCATTCTTCTACCTTTTCTCCTTCTTCTTCTCTCTCTCCATCCTTCTCATTCTTTACCTTTGCTTCCTTCTCCCCTTCCTCTTCATCCTCCTCCTTCCCCTCCTCCCCTTCCTCCACCTCCCCTTTCTTCTGTCCATCATCCTACTCCCCATCGTCCACCTGCTCCTCTTCGCCTGTCTTTCTCCCCTCCTCCTCCTCCCCCTCCTCTCCGCCTTCTCTCTCTCCTCCCCATCTTCCTCCTCCTCCTGGCTTTCAGTCAATCCATCATGTGGGCAAATAGATAATTATTATTAAACAGGACTTTGTATTTTTTACAATCATTTTTATTTTTCTATCCTCAGGTTCAGGCTGCCCATCGTGCGAAAGTGAGCTACGAACGCTCTCAGAAACTTGTGAAAGCGGCGCGGGAGGGCAGACTCATGTTCACCGAGGATGGATCTCCCAAGATTCTAGGTTTGAGGCCCACCGTTCTCTCTCATTGCTCAGTTGATTCTCTTTAAGGGGAGGAGCGACCCTTGATTTTGCAGATTTGGGGTCAGGCTATGCAAATTTTCTGTTGGCTGATTTTTGTCTAAAAATAGCATGGGTACAATTGCGAAAGTCTTTATTCTCCTTGTAAATTGCCTTTGAAAACACGACGATGGGTTAATATAGTGAATTTTCACAATAATTGTCAGTTTTCGCAAAATTTAATTTTGTTGCTGTTTTCTCCCTACTCCCTCTTTAGTTTTTGTCATTTTGACGTGAAACTTTCAGGAAACATAGATGGCAAGGCTGCCGGTGATGTAACAGAGAGATATTTGCGAAAACAATAACACTTTTCCATTGGCAAGCGATTACGCAACCTAAATTTAAAAAAAGTTTTGTATATTTTGGGAAAATTCTCATATTTTCTCTTCTTTTGCACTTATTGAAATGAATTTGCTGTTACTGTGATAGGGCCTGGTTCAGGTATACTTTCACAACATTTGGTCAAATTTGGTCAGTAAATAAGAAAGCCTTAGGTATTTGAAATTCATTGTTTATTTTCAAGATGGCGGCCGTTTCCATAGCAACTGCTGTTGCTATTGCTATGCCAAAATAACATGGCGTATCAAGAGATTTTACTATGCCTAACTTAAATGTGTACTTAGATTTGATCTCGGGCAACAAACATAGAAAATGGTCCTCCAGGGTAGCTCCCCCTGTTAACAGCGCCTGATTTCATCACGATGCTTCACATAGAACAATAATAGTGATACTAATAAAAAGATCACTAAGATGATAATTATGAAAGTAATAATAGCAGTAATAATGATAAGAATTGTTTTAGAAATAAATTTTGTAATAATAAAATGATAAGTGCGAGTAACTGAGGAGGAGTCCGCTGAAACCGAAATCTGCGGGACTGCCGGATTTTCATTGGTATTAGCCGGGTTTTTGGTTTAAAGAGGTTGCTCAAATGAAAAAAATAGTATATATAACGGCATGGTTTCCCCCGACAGACGCGCCGCTGCCCCCCCCACAAGCCCCACAGACGCCCCAGGCCGTGACCCCGGCTCAGCTGATCCCCACATCACCCCAGCTGGCCGCCTTCCCCCAGTACCTGGTGCCGGCTGTTCCCTCGTCGCAGCTCCCTCCCTCCGCGTACGCAGGCGGTCACATCTCCATGCTGTCACCGGAGTCCGGCCGCACCTCGCCGGATCTGGTCATCGTTGCCGAGACCCCTGCCCCATCCAGACAGGTCAGCGCTGACGATTTCGATGACGCGGTCGTCAGTTAGTTACTTCGTACAGAATAATCTGTATATCTTAACCTAATGAACCCTGACCTCCTGTGCCCAAAATAACTCGTCCCCTGCCTTCCTGAGTAGAAAATGCCTACACGGCTACACACAAAAGGTGCAAAAGCTTATTCGAAGCAATTTCCTCTTCCTTGAGTTGCTTTGACTGTTACAATAGCTACCATAAACCTACAAGTCCTTTTGATGTCCTCCCCCCCCCCCCCCCCCCCCTTTCATCTGGATCGCTAACAGCAACCCCCTTTTCATCCTTGTACGGACTACTTTGTTCTTCAGTAGACTCGCACATGCTGATATATCGGTGCTTCGGGACAGGGGCTAATAAGAGTTAAGTGAAGATTTGTTGATTTACTGTTCTTTCCTTATGCATACCTGGATCAGGTTTTGTGGCTGAGTGGTATATGTATATATAAAACCTGTATAATATTGCATCATGTATGCGATGGTTCTGATTCCTGCCTGCTTGTTGCGCTTGGGAGAGAGAACAGGCATAATTATTGAGATAAGGATGGGAGAAAAAAAAAAAAAAAAAAGGCAGATATTTAAGTTTAAAAAGTTTTTGGACGCTTTTGATGGCACTTGCAACACAATTAGGTCATATAAGTGCTGAAGATTAGAGGTGTTACAAGAGAGTGTCAAACCAGTTTGTATAACGGTCATATCAGACAATATATCGATGTCACGGGTTCATTGGGTTAAGTCAGGCTCATGTCGATATCACTTGCGAAAGGCAAATTTATCGAAAACAAAAATGTGTAACCAATGATAAATTTGTGACCAATAATAATGCCTATTCTGTCTCCCAAGTTGGACGAGCATGCAGGAATCTTCAGAACCATCGCATACACAACAGTGGGTGGTTGGCAGGTGTTTTGGTGTGGTTAGCTCATTCTCTGCGACCAAACATCTGTCATCCTTATCTCTCCTTCTTTTTTGTGTTTGTTACTCTCTTGTAACACCGCTAATCTTCAGCACTTATATAACCTAATTGTGTTGCAAGTGCCGTAAAAGACTTTAAAAAACTTGTAAAAAATTGTCATAAATAATAATGCCATATCTCTCTCCCAAGTGCTATAAGCAAGCAGGAATCATCAGGGCCGTGGCATACACGATACAACGTTATACAGGTTATATATATATATACACTCAGTAAAGCATGACATCATGTGAATTTTCTTTGTGTAGTCTCTTTGTGTCTTCATCATCATCATTGCCTTTCTCACCATGCACCAGGATATAGGCCACGGACAAACACCTTCCACTTTTCTCTATCCTGGGCTAGCCTCTTGATGTTATTCCATGTCTTCCCACTTTTCTGTACATCGATTTCTGTGATTCTTCTCCAGGTTCCACGAGGTTCCACGAGACACTTTGTGTCTTACTCTCTACTAATCTTTGACACTAATATGGTATGACCTATTTCACAACCTTCCATTAGTGACCTTCACCTTTTTCTTCTATCTCCCTGTGGGGGCTCTCGTGGTCTAGAGGTTACGTTGTTCACCTCTCATTCAATTGGTCCCGGGTTTGAAACCTGACAGCTGTGGAAAATGTTATCCTTTTATCATTTCACCTCCTTTCCTGCTGTCTAATCATGTTCTGTCGTCTGCTTTCATCTCGTCTTTCTGTTTATAGATCTTTGACAACCTTCCATTAGTGACCTTCACCTTTTTTTTATCTTCCTGTGCAGGCGAGAGGTCCCGGCAGCCAGGCCAGTCCTGTCATGTCTAGTGGTGAGTCTATTCTGTGTGTGTGTGTGTGTGTGTGTGTGTGTGTGTGTGTGTGTGTGTGTGTGT